GAAGGAAGGAAGGAAGGAAGGAAGGAAGGAAGGAAGGAAGGAAGGAAGGAAGGAAGGAAGGAAGAAAAAGAAAGAAAGAGGAAGGAGAGTGGGAGGGAGGGAGGAGGGCGGGAGGTGGAAGCTGGACAGGTGGCTCAGCAGTTGAGAGTATCTGTTTTTGCTGAGGACTAGGGTTTGACTTTTGTCCAGAACTCCTGTTCCAGAAGATCTGATGCCCCCACTTTGACCTCTGTAGGCACCAGGCACAGACATGGTGGACATATATACTATACATGTAGGCAGAAACTCACACAAATAAACAAGTGAGAAACAACAACAACAAAAAAGAATGTGATAACATGCAGCAGTCTAGACAACCAGTACTATTTTCGAGAGTCTACTGAGGTCCTCAGAACATACTTTCCTTGGATGAGGGAAAACTGCTGTCATTCCCTGTTTAAACTGCTTAAGGACTTCCCACTGCTCAGTGGTAGAGCCTGTGCCTAGCATGCATAGGACTAGGTTCTGTTAATGCCATAATCACACGCCACTGGAAAGACTTAGCTTCATGTTTCAGTGTCCCTGTTTCAGTGTCCTCTGAGGACACGTCACACCATCACACTTCTAGTACTCATGCTGATGGTAGGTTTCCATAAATGGTTGTGGGCATATTAAACCATGAGTGGTGTTCTCTAATGCTTCAATGAAAGGTTTTCCTAAATAGTAAAGCTGGATTCCAATCCCTGACCTGCTGCTAATTAGCTGCATGATTGTGGTTCTCCTCCTGCCTGGGGGCCGTCTCCCACTACCCACGGAGTCAGGAGATGCATGGAGAAGAGAAACGTGCCTGGATTGGCCTGTGAGCACTGAACAGGGATCACACACCCTGGGAACCACTGCAGGGAGCTACTTCAACTTCAATTCCAGAGAACTAAGGCTATATACCCCTTGGGGACTCCAAGGATAGGTGTACATAATTGGTTGGAACTAGGCACTTCAAGGATGCTTGATTTGCATTAAACAGGACACTCCTATCATATGAATGGAAACATAGTACCTAATTATCACGTAGGTGCAGGGAAGGGAGAGCTAGCAGGGAGCTGTGTCAAAGGCCATAAATCAAATGTGGTTGGGGAATCTGTGTCTAAAGACACTCTCCAGATGAAGTCAGGCAGAGAGCAAGAGGCTCTGCCAGAAAGAGGGAGTCCTGCACCTTAACCCTGAGCTCAGAATGGCTATCCAGACTGGGAGAACTGCAACCTCAAACAGCAGGGTTCCTCCAACACGTGATGACAAGCAAGATGTTTAACCTCCTTGGGCCTCAGTTTCCTCACTAGTAAAACGCAGCTAATAACAGCTACTTGAAAATATTACCATAAAAATGAAACAAAATTACATAGTATAGTGATTAGCACACACAGTGCCTGGCAAGTAGTAGCCTCCCCACTCTGGTTTCAACCTGACAGAGACAACTAGGACAAAACAAATACAAAAATAAGTCACAGTAATCAAGGCAGACTGAGCATAGAATGAGTCATTCCTTTTAATCATTTGCACAGGAAACAACAATGAAGAAACATAATAAGCAGAAAAAACCCTGTTGGTAGCATGTCCCTTAGCATATAAGCTTAATGAGAGAATTCCCCCAGACATCTCTTGCTGATAGACTTCCTACATCCCAGCCCAGCAGGTCAGATCTTGGTCTACAGGACCAGGATGGTTTATTCAGACTGGAACAGAAGCCAACTCATAAGAAACGTGTTTATAGGCAGGAGATGGAGGAGAAGCACTTGACTGCAGCTACACCAATCGGCTGTTTTGCAATCTGGCAGAAAACACTGCAAAACCATTGGTAGAGACTCACACCCACACAGCAGCACTTACCTGTAGCCAAGAACCAGTTTAGAACAGATAATGAGCAGCTTTCTGCTTTAACAAAAACAGTTGTCAGACCTGTATAAAATGAACATTCCTAGGACCTATGAAGAAACACCAGCCAGCTTTACACATACACCAGCTTGTGAGCAGCGGCCACAGCATCAACTCAATTTTTCATACAAGGAAGAGGAAAAGCAGATTCAAGTTCTGCTCCTGGGAGCCTGCTTACCTCTGCAGAGGCGCTGTGATTTGCAGCACCTGCTTCCTCGGAGTGATTCCCTTTAGAATGCTGTATCACTTCAGGTGTAGCCACTTCACTGAGATGATCTCTCTTCTGCCGATCCCTGAGTAAGCTCTGGTGGTCACTAGAGGGTACAGAGAGGGTAAGGGGAGCCCCGGGGAGGCTTTGCCTCTTCCATGATGTCCTGCCCCAGCTTAGCCTCAGAAGATGTGGTTCACCATCTTCAGGCAGAACGCCCAAATCATTTGCAGTTTGGGATTTTTGAAAAAATATCACCATGGAATTGGAAGAGTCTGTCCTAAAAGGCTGGCAGCTCTGGGACTTGCTGCAGTCGGCCTGAAAGCACATCCCTTCCAGCCACCAAAGAGCATGACAGGCAGAGTCCAGGCAGCAGGCAGCCCAACAGGCCTGGAAAGGCAGGCTTCCTTTAAGAAGCTGAAGGTGATTTTCTCCCCCAGTTCTCAAGCCAGCTCCATAAAGAGTTTTCTCCTGATGGCATCTGCTCTCATTAGCATCTAAAAACAAAGAAGGAAAACACTTTAGGATGAAACCAGACAGAGATTACTATTCTATGAAGGGCCCAACTCTAGCATTTGAGGCTGTTTTGAAGAAAGTTTTGTTGTTGTTTTGTTTTATTGAGACAGAATCTCAATACATACCCTAGCTCACCTGGAACTCACTGTGTAGACCAGGCCGGCCTTGAACTCACAGAGATTTTGCCAACTGAGTACGGATATTTGGCTAAACACAGGTTTTTAAGAGAGTAAGAAAAACAGTATATTGAGCCTGTGATCCCAGCACTCAGGGAGGCAGAAGCAAGTGGATCTCTGTGAGTTCAAAGTCAACCTGGACTACTAATCAACTCAAGGGCAGCCTGGGCTACACAGAGAAACCCTGTCTTGAAAAAGAAAAGAGAGAGAGAAAGAGGGAGAGAAAGAGAGAGAAAAAGACAGAGAGAAAGAGAGAGAGAAAGAAAATAGTCTATTGAGTAGAACAGAGGGAAAGGAAGCATTTTGTTTTCAGGACATTTTAGTTTATAAGAGAATTATTCCACATTCATGGAGGAGGCTCCCTTCTCAATCAGTTTCTGCCATGTAAAGCCTTTATAAAGAATCCCAACTTGGGAGTAGAGCGATGGTTCAGAGTTTAAGAACACTGGTTGATCTTCCAGAGGTCCTGAGTTCAATTCCCAGCAACTGCATGGTAACTCACAAAGATCAATAATGAGATTTGGTGCCCTCTCCTGGCGCGCGGGTATATATGCAGACAAAACATTGTATACATCATAGATAAATCTTAAAAAAAAAAAAAATGAGTCCCAACTTTTGAAACAAGATATAAAATAAAGCAAAACTTTACAAAGGACTTTTCTGATAAAAGTACATGGATTATGAGGAACAGAGTTCCCACACTTGAACTTCTACTTTCTTCCAAGGTGTATGTTAGGGACAATGGACTAAGGAACCAGAAGTATAGGTAGATGAACAAGCAACATTTTCCTCATTGAACAGCAACACAAGCTAAGTACTCCTGACTGCATGCAAGTAACAGATATAGATATATTCTAATCAGTCACATGATCATGTCATCAGCCAAAGCACTGGTGAAAAGTACCAAAAAATTTAATCAAGAGAGAAATTATCCTAGCTAGATTTTCTGAATGACAACCCATACCATACCAAATAAATAAAGAAAAACATGCAATAGTGTCCTACTGTAGGTACTCTAGACAATAACATGATCCTAGACTCTCAATTGAACTATTTCAAGCATGTAATCGATCTTCATCATTACATCTGACAAAACTAGCTTTAAATAAAAGTTGTTTGAAGTTTGTCTTAGGGTTTCTATTGTTGTGATGAAACACTGTGACAAAAAGCAACTTGGGAAGGAAAGGTTTATTTCATTCACAGGTCCACATAACAATTGATCAAAGCAGTGAGGACAGGAACTCAAACAGGACAGAAACCTGGAGGCAGGAGCTGATGCAGAGGCCATGGAAGGGTGCTGCTTCCTGGCTTGTTCCCCATGGCTTATTCAGTCTGCTTTCTTCCAGAGCCCAGGACCTCCAGCCCAGGAGCATCTCCATCTGTAGTAGGCTGGGCCCTCTCCCTTAATGACTCATTACGAAAATGTCCCACAGGCTTGTCTGTCCACAGACCAATCTTTTCTTCTTTTTCTTTTCTTTTTTTTTTTTTTTTTTGTTTTTTTTTTGTTTTTTGTTTTTGTTTTTTTGACACAGGGTTTCTCTGTGTAGCTCTGGCTGTCCTAGACTACTCTGTAGACCAGAGTGGCTTCAAATTCACAGAGATCCATCTGCCTCTGCCTCCTGAGTGCTGAGATTAAAGATATGTGCCATCATATCTTTATGATGTGCCCAATCTTACAGAGGCATTTTCTCAATTAGGCTTCCATACTCTCAGATGATTAGCTTGTGTCAAGATGACATAAACTAGCCAGCACAAAGTCCTCTCCCCACCCCATCTCCCAGTACTGGAAATTCAACAGGGCCTCAGATGTGTGTAAATACTCTACCACAGGGCTATCTCTTCATCCACGTTTAATCTTTTACTTGGAGATAGTCTCGGCCTGCCTAACAGATGGATTATAGACCTTGCTGTTTTTCCTAAGACTTATTGTGTATCCAAGGATAGCCTTGAGCTCCTAATCCTCCTGCCTCCAACTGTGAAGTGCTTGGGTTGCAGTCATGCACTACAATTCCCAACTGAGGATGCCTCATTAAACTTCCTGTTGACCCTCCACAGGGTGCTCTCTTTCATTGACTTAGAAATATATATTCGAGAGCTGGGAGATGGCTCAGCAATTAAGCATTTGCCACACAAGAGGGGGCCCAGATTTTGGATCCTAAGAACCCATGTAAATGCCAGGTGGGTGTGCCTCAGAAGGCAGAAACAGGAGATGCCCAGATCAAGACAGCTAGCCATATCTATGAGCTCTCAGTTTGACTGTGTGGCCTGCCTCAGATTGAATATATTGGAAGAATGATGGAGGATGATATAAAAATGAAAAAAAATATGTAAATATACATAGATGTGTGTATATGCATGTATGCATGTATATTTTAATTACAGATGGAAAACATGCAATACAATCAAAGCACTGAGGAGAATAAATACATCTGCATATATACATAACTGAAAATACAGTCTAACTAAAGCAACAACCTGTTAATTGGGCAAAACCAACCTGACTCCCACGAAATATTCACTAAATATCCAACAGGCTAAATGTGGACACTAATCAACTGGGAAATAAAAAGAAGATAAAGGCAGACTTCTAGACTACTGAGTCAGACATTCTATGTATGGAAACCAGCCTGCCATTGTTCCCTGAAAAATGAGAGATACACTGGCACCAGCCTAACACCAGACAAGGCAATTAGAAAATCAGGAGTAAATAGAACTTCCTTAAGAAAAAATGAGTAAATAGCAACTCTGAAATAAAAATGAAGCCACTGAAATACACTTTGTGTCCTCATCCACCATCCTACAGTCATCCACAGCATGAGTCTTGGTAATAGCTGTGTCTACAGTCATTTCTATGAGCAATAAATTATGGCTTAGTGATTTATAAACACTGGTAAAAGCAACGCATGGTGGCACACACTTAATCCTCAGGAGGCAGTGGCACATGGATCTCTGTGTTCAAGGCCAGCCTTGTCTACACAGTAAGTTCTAGGACAGCCAGAGCTACACAGTAAGATGCTGTCTTTCTTTTTTTTTCCCCCAAGACAGAGTTTCTCTGTGTAGCCTTGGCTGTCCTGTACTTACTTTGTGGACCAGGTTGGCCTCAAACTCACAAAAGATCCACCTGCCTCTACCTCCCAAAGTGCTGGGATTACAGGCGTGCCCCACAGAATATAGCTGTAAGATGCTGTCTTAATAAATCAATAAATCAATAAATACCAGTAGTTACCTTTGTGTCATGAAAACACCTTTAACATACTTGTTCCCATGTGGATAGTCTTCAGATGTAGTTGTGCCTTTGTTAACCACCAGAAACATTACCATGGCAAGACTTATGAAGGATAACCACTGTGTCGTGATCGCCATGAACAAGCCATCCCACTATGATCTCTCTAAAAATCACTCTAAGATTCACAGCAAGCCACTGTATAGATGAGATGCAATCAACACAGGAAATGCCCCATGTACTCAGCAGTCACTAGCCACCAGAGAATCCACATTAAAGAAAACCTCAGCCGGGCACATGGTAGCGCACACCTTTGATCCCAGCACTTGGGAGACAGAGGCAGGCTAATCTCTGTGAGTTCAAGGGCAGCCTGGTCTATAGAGGGAGTTCCAGAACAGCCAGGGCTACACAGAGGAACCCTATCTCAAAAAAAACAAAGAAGAAAAAGATAGAAAGAAAAAATCCTCATGAATCCAATGAATATGGAACAGATCTTGGGAAGAACTCTGTCCTGTCAAGTTATCAGAGAACTCACAAGCCAGAAACCCTAGGACTATCCTGGCTGGAGATCCTTTGTTCAGAAACTGGTCCTTACCCATCAGGAGACTCCATGTCGGAAAAAAGCCTTTTAATGTATGAAATGTGGGAAAGCTTTCAGACATAACTCAACTGTATTGAGCTATTAGAAATATAATCCAATAAGCAGACATGTAATAGAGCCTTTAGCATGGCTCCACAACACAGGCATGAGCTCTAAACTCCCCTGGCTGTGGAGACTTTGGAAGCTACCAGTTCTGCTCTATAAAGTCCTGGTCCCTAAGGTCACTGAGTATCACTTCTGCAACAAACATCTCTGGGATCACGTTGAAGTTTCTGTCTGTTGCCCTCAGTCCAGGGAATCATCCCAGCACAGAGACATCATAACTGGTATGTAAAGAATCACACCCATTGCCAAACAAATGCGCCTCAGGCAATTCCTAAGCTCAGAAGAATATGTATGAGATACATAAGGAAACGAAGAGTTATCTGTGAAAAGGATGAGAACATTCTCTGTCCTATCTGCACAACTCTTAGAAACACGAGGAGGCTCCAGACACTCACCTGTTAAGGAGCCACTGAGAGGCAGAGGGAGAAGTTACAAGTAAGATCTGTATAGAAATCAATCCAAGACAACAAGAAGAATCTGAATGAGGTGATCAGAGTAACCAATTTATGGACATGTCACTTATGTCAACAGGAAAAGATTGTTAGGATTAAGAAAGTAAGCTGCATCCAGCTTTCAAAGAGAACACCCATGTTTGGAGGGAATGCAAAAGGAAGCCAGGCACATATAGCCACTTAAGAGATGCGAAGTCAAATGGTTCAAAATGAGAAACAGCTGAAAGAGATCTCTGAGGAACTTGGGGAATAAACATGCCATAAACCTCAGGAAGAACTGTTGACGAGGAGCAGGTCCTTCCAAAAGCACAAGCTGAAGCCTCTGAAGTCAGAGTCTGTGATGACACCTGTCACTGGACTGCCAGACAGGGCCAACCATTTCCAAGAAGAAATTTCCTTCAATTATGAAATGACCAGTCACAAA